TAGTTAAGTATAGAAAATTTAACAAACATTTTGCACTCTAATATTATATAGGACTTAAAGAAGTATAGCCAGTGAAAAGAACATCGTACGTAAATAATATGACTGCTTCTATTCCTGGAAAACTTATCCATGATTGTAATTTGACACAATGGAGCGCAAACACTTTAATTTCTCAAATAAATTCTTATTTCATACGGTACATTTGACACATGTGTTGAGGAAATTCAAGCCCTGTTTTAACAGTCCTACATATCAGCTATACCGTGAAAAGCATATTATTACTATCACTGACTACACTGCGCTAGGGCGCTGCTGAGAAGTCATATGACAAACGACAATTTAATTGAATACAGTACTGATAAAAACACTCCACAAACTCAATGCTGTCAATTTTATTAGTAAATTTATTTCAATTTTTTACAAAACTCTGGAAGATAAGTGGCCAGCCACTTAGTAATTAACAAACATATAATAATAATATAACAATTATTATAAAAGTTATATACAAGCATACATATACAAGCGTACATAACAGTATCATATAATATATATATATATGATATATATATAAATATATATATATATTATATATATATAATATATATATATATATATAAGTTCACATAAACACAGTTTTGCAGCAAGATCCCTCTCATATTTGTATAAAAAAAATTGCTAAACCCTGCAAACCCCCTAAAACACAGTGCAAAACCCCATCCAAACCCTGTGATAATGATTGAATCACAATTGAGATACCAAGTGAGTCCTATACCTGTCTCTTATACACATCTATATATACAAATCAAGTTGCTGCTTAGCACTGAAAACAAAAATAATGTATAAATCAAGTACATACATATGTATATATATATATATATTTCATTTTCATATTATTTTTTTTCATATCAGGAATTAAAATCATATTTCTTGAATACAAAACAGAAACAAAGAACAGAAAAATAATCAAGAACAATAGAAAAGACATTAATTCTTAAGGTAACCTAAGAAAGTTTTTAAATATTAAAAAATATTTCCTTTGGGGCCCTTATGAGGGATTAAAAGGATGTCCACCATTGCCGCTTCCTTCCATCATACAAGTATATAATACAAATGACTCTCGAGATGCGAATGTAAAATCTAGAAAAACCGTTATCGACTCCCCATTGCGACATTATGGGCCTATACTAATAACCTAATAATTATAAGCCTTTAAGTCTATACTAATAACCATGCATGGTTATTAGTATAGGCCCATAATGTCGCAATAACGAGTCGATTGGCCGAGCGGTTGGTGGGCCGCAACCTACAGCAATAATGTCGGCGCTGGTTCGAACGGCACGCTCGCCAGTGGTTTTGGTGGTGGAGTATAAATGGTACCTGTTAGGGCTGCCTGCTCTAGCGCTGATTACCAGAAGCAACACTTAAAGCATGTGGACCCAATGACCAAGAAAAGAACTGCGCCTAATAACCTCAAGGAAGAGGCGCATTATAAATGCCTATTTATACCAGTACCAGTACCAGTGGAACAACAGATAAGAACTACAAACCGTAGGCCCAGTGTACATAATTGGTTCATATGCACTTTAAAGAACCCACATCTTTTGAGATGAGTAAGGGGTTACCCCGGTGTACTGGTCCACACAGACCATGCTGTGGAAAGACGAGAGTACCTGGTACCGGCTTACCGGGTAGCTCAGACACGAACAGACCCTTAGGGGAGAACGTTACTGTACGAGCTTGTCTACGCTTCGAGAGCTTTGAGACTCTGGTGTAAAGTGCTATATAAATCAACTATTATTATTATTATTATTATTATTATTATTATTATTAATGTACAGTAATATAGAGAATCCTTATTTTGATAAAGAAAAATTCGTGGAAACTTAAATGAAAAAACCCCTTTCACTTACATAGGCCTATCAAAATCTTTTACAAACATGTCGGGTCAAAAGTGAAACACGAAGTTTCTACAAGCATCACATTAGACCGAAAGTGAAACATTTGAGTTTGCTGATGTGCAAACAATTAACACAACAGGTCACCATACAGATTAACATTTTGAATTATAATGGGAATATACATAGTTGGTGTAAAATTTAATATATTGTTTTCCTAATATTAAATTTTGTTTAATGTTTAGTCGTCCTAAACAAGTCCATAAACTCTGAAGGTGTTACATGAGAAGAAGAGGTTGACAAAAAATTAAAAATTAGCAAGAAAAAGAAAATTGAAAGGCAACTCAGCTTATTTGAATTGTTATCAGAGAGAATATACTGGTTGGTTTATTGAAGCAAAAGATTTAGTGTCTTGACACATATCTTAACGCATCATAGGCACAATTACCTTAATTATAATACATGATATCATGCGATAATATTGATCTTGTTAATTTAAGTGCCAATTCACTTGAAGGGAAGTTTAGTGAAAGTTCCGATAATGTTAAATCCATATTCTTTGGATCAGATTGCATAATTATTGTGCACCATTATGGTACAATAACGATCAGTAAGTTTGTAAGATTTGGCTATATGCATTTATACCGCGCAAAAACAAGGGTCATATGCGACAAAAACAAGTAAACAGATGTAATCAAAGAGTAGAACTGCAATTCTATCTCTTTGATGTGATTGGAAAAACAAGGAATGAAGAACTCCAAGCCAGCACCCAAACCGCAGTCGCTGACCAGGGATTTGTGAAAATGTACCCTGTCGTGCACAAACTTGTGTATGGCTATTTCTAAAAGACTTTTTAAAATATAAATTACCCTCCTCAACACTAAAGGCGAGATGCATTGTCGCTTATCTTGTTTGACAGTCATGTGAATGTTATTCGAGTAGCCAAAGCTTTGAACAGGTGCCTTTAGAAGGGTGTACGGTAAAAATGGCCCCGGTAAAAATGGCCCAGGAAAAAATAGCCCCGGAAAAAATGGCCCCGGTAAAAATGGCCCTGGTAAAAATGGCCCCAGATGACAGGTAAGTAAAAATGGCCCCAATAATAAAATCTGTATTAAAACTGATTTTTAAAAATCATTATATGCATTTTTTTAAATTGAAATAATTTAGATTTTAAAAGGAATCTAACATCAAATAATTTGCCATTTACATTTTCCTTTTTGCAGGAATTACATATTCAATGATATAATATTCAAAGATAAAAAAAAGCCATGAATAACATTTTTTATTTTTTTCCATTTAAATGTTAGAAAATAGCAACAACATAATCAATAAATCAACATAAATCATGCATTTATTAATACTAAAATAATTTACAATTTCACAGAAGCGGAATTTTCCAGAAATTCAATCCGAGTATTGGTAAAAACCCCACAAACAATAGGTTGATATGAACATCAAATTATTATTATTTTTTAAGAATAAGAGAGTTCTACAATCATAATTAAAGGGTTTGGATGGGGTTCGCAGTGTGTTGGGAGATTTGTGGAGTATTTGCTATTATTTTTTCACAAAAAAATCAGAATTTAAAAAAAAAAAAAAAAAGGTTCTTATGAATATTTAATTTTATACCACGTATATACCGGCCACGTGAGTCAATCACAATTGAATTGTTTGGTTTTCTACAGTGTGTTTTGGGAATATCTAATAATAATAATTAAAAAAATACTTAGACCTAACAGCCGCCCATACAATAATGATCTGTTAATCAATCAGCAGGGTACTCCTAGAGCTACTCATATGAGCTAAAAACTAAGTTATTTTAGTTCTCAAATATGCATATGGTTTATGTTGATTTATTAATTCAATTTTTGCTACAGGGTCTGAGCATTTAATTTTTTTTTTGAATTTTATAATTGAGGGCCATTTTTTATTTATTGATTCAATTCTTGCTTATTACAGTATTTAAATATTTGAAGATTTAAAAAAAAATATCATTTCTATTACTGATTTTTTTTTATTGGGGCCATTTTTACCTACTTGTCATTTGGGGCCATTTTTACTTGGGCCATTTTTCCGGGGCCATTTTTCCTAGGCCATTTTTACCAGGGCCATTTTTACCTCAACCCTTTAGAAGAAGCAGGAACAATAATGCTTAGCCAACCACTCGGTTTCGGCACAGCTCTACTAATAGTTTACGTGTGTGTCTTGCATAATAAGCCTACATTTCATGACTCAGCAACTATATTTTAAGTATTTTTTAAATGTTAGTCAGTTGACTGAGCACTATGATGGTAATTCGAGTAACTAAAAGGTTTGAACCTATTGCCTTCAGAAGGAGAGGAACAATAATTATTTGCCAAACGCTTGGCCTGATTACAGCTCTACCAATAGTTCAAGTGTGTGTTTTGAATAATAAACCTACATGTCATGACTCAGCAATTATATTTTTAGTGTTTTTGTTTATCTTAGTTAGTTGACTGAGCTCATTGAGCCTCTTCTTGTTGTTTACACGTTTTTTTTTTTAAATTGTGTTATCATATATGTTGTATATAGGCCTACTTGTTTACAAAATAATAAATTTGATTTGATAAACACCATATTATTATGAATTATTATAAAACTGTTTATTTTGCTTTATCTTAAAATTCCAATTTACTTATTTAAAAAAACGATTTTAAAAGATTATCAATAATTTATATTTCTATTTAATATATTAACTTTTAATTGCTCTGGTTTGGCGATACCTTTGTATTTTTATCGTGATTATTTTTTATTATCAGTGCTGTATTTTCCAGGACAATGTATATGTCATAGCTTCTTGTCTTGTGATAAAACATACAAGTTTGTATCTTGAATCTTTTTTCTTTTATTGTGCAACTTCATCATTTTACGGCATTGCACTACCACTCCATGTTTGGGTTAGTACAGAAAATTTTACATGCTGTGGGTTATGGGGTGTAATTTTGGGTGCTAGCTCTTGTTTCTGCATAGAAAGCCACTATATAAGTAACATAAAAATAAAAGAGAACGGAATGGAGTAGAATGTTATACACAATTACAAACAAATAACAAATGTTTGAGAATAATGAAATATCGAACTATGACTTTGTGGAATGATTCCCATAGTATTGTTTATGATAGATTTTCTTAAAAACGATTACATTATGTAGACTTACAAACCAACTGCTATCTACATATTCTTAAATATTCCATGCAGGATGCAAAATTCTTCATGATATAACTAAGGTACATCACTTGGGCCAGTAATGATGCTCAGCTATACAGTACACTTGCCGACAAGCTTGTCGAAACGCTAGTGTTATATGAATTCATAACACCCTTATATAACCACGACCAAGGTGTACAGCAATTATGGTGGTATATTTTGTTGCTTTCGGATGAATATAATTCCAGTTTTTAACCTAAACAAGTGTCCCTTTAATCAATTCAGTCCAAGCGCCACTGCAAGACGTTCCCAGAAAAATGGGCGAAGATCTTCTTTAGTATAATCACACACACTGATAAATCTTAGAATATCTGGAACACTGCACATTTCATACATGATTGGAACAATTCGCTTCAATCTATTTCCTATAAAACAGATACAAATAGGGTTTTTGGGTAATATTATATTATATATATATATATATATATATCTATATATATATATATATATACATATACAATATATATACATTTACAAAGGCGTATCTAGGGGAGGGCGAGGCGTACCCTGTCGCCACTGAGAAAATATTCGAAGCACAAAAATCACGCTCATGTAGATAAAAATCACCTTATTTTGCGAATTAGTGCCCCTTACTTTAGCATCGAGCCCTCATTTCACATTCGTTCCCAATCAGCCCCACCTTTTTAAAGACTACTAGATACGCCACTTTACACGTACACATATAATATATATACATACAAACATACATACATACATGCTTACGGAGATGACTATTATTATAGTTCACTTTATTTACTATCCATTGAAATAATAAATAAATAAATATAATTATGTGCTATATAAGACGTGTTATTATATTTTGCTACTGTGTGACAAGCATCAGATATTTTTAGCACGGTATCAATATATAATATCCAAAACTAATAATAAAAACGGTCATACCTGGCGTGAGACTCAATGCGAATTTGGCTTGAAAATCGCACTCTGGGCTTTCTGTGAATCTTGGTGATAACACAACAATCATTCTTTTACACCTGATAAAAAACGTAGTGACATGGCATGAACGCAATGGCGTATGATAGAGATATGTACAGTATATACATTGTCCACCTTTACCTTTATGGACATGTAAATATATAAAATATAAGCAAATATATAAGTTATTATATAATTGTTATTGTATTTATGGTGCTACGTAAAAAAACTGATTGAATATTATTTAATATACACACACACGCACACACACACACACACACACACACACACACACACACATATATAT